TCCCTACACGACGCTCTTCCGATCTCGAGCCCATTGGCCTGAACAGATCCTTCAATCACCACAAGAGGCAGTCAGCACATCAGCCGACTCGGTTGAGGTGTTGCAAAAGCGGCTGCAGGAGAAGGAACTAGAGTTGGAGCCCTTGCGAACGTCGGTTGCAGATCTGCAGGAGAAACTCGAGCTTTCAAAGAAGGAGGCCGCCGTAAGAGAACAGGAGTTGGCAGCCTCGCGAACGCAAAATGATGAACTTAATCGAGAGGTTGCAGATCTACAGGAGAAACTCGAGCTCTCGAAGAAGGAGGCCGCCGTAAAAGAACAGGAGTTGGCAGCCTCGCGAACGCAAAAGGATGAACTTACTCGAGAGGTTGCAGATATGCAGGAGAAACTCGAGCTCTCGAAGAAGGAGGCCGCCGTAAAGGAACAGGATTTGGCAGCCTCGCAAACGCGAAACGATGAACTTACTCGAGAGGTTGCCGATCTGCAGGAGAAACTCGAGCTCTCAAAAAAGGAGGCCGCCGTAAAGGAACAGGAGTTGGCAGCCTCGCGAACGCTAACCGATGAAATTACTCGATCGGTTGCAGATCTGCTGGAGAAAATCAAGCTCTCGAAGAAGAAGGCCGCCGTAAAGGTATGTATATCACCAATTTAATTGCGTCTTTTATTGATGCCATTCTATCGAAGATGACAGCTGCTGTTTACAGTCCTTGATGATCAATCACCGATTGCAAGCGGTACTTACTCCTTCCGCTCCGCCAACAGCCATTGAACGTTCATCAATGACTATCCATATTCTTGGCTGACGACGGCTTATAAGTCAGAAATGGCTATCCTTGCCTCCCTTGTCTTTGTTGGAAATGTCCTTCTGCCTTTATCATTAACTGTCTCGCGGCGTGGCTGGATTGTGAATTACAGTGACACTGCGCTTCGTTCGGAGGGCTTGGTAGGCCACACAAAGGTTGACGGAGGTTGTCCCCGTGTGCCAGGCCTCGATTATTTCCCTGGCTACGAGGTCATTTCCTCGACGTGGAATCGTATAGGGAACGTTGGGTGCTCCACTGAGGAGCCGAGACCCTCGTTGCTGTATCATGCAGCAGCCGAAACATCGGGTCTGTTCATTTAGCTAGTACCTATGTGGGGGTAGGGCACAACATATTTGCCATATAGAAGTCATACTACTTGTAGTACTACTCGTTTGCAGGATGGCCATTTCGGATGTTATTCCAGAATAGTTGATTGTCTTCGACTAAAAAGGCTCATAGAAATCTCAGTTGTGACCCTAAAGAGTAATATTCCAGTCCCCCACCTAGAAATCATGCAGTTAATGATTTACCGAATTATTATCAATGCCTCACCATCAGCCGATCATCATCGCTACAGACCGGATATTATACATTCACTCAGGAATGGCATACACCGGTCAAATTTGCTTACCGACTTTTTTGTCCGAATAGCCAACCCTATCCTTAGGGTGTATAAGCTGAGTTCGCAGAAGAGTTGCGTCACAAAAAACTGCTCCCATTGAACTATACCTCTTGAGATGACCATTTTCCAAATCATATTGTCGATTATTCTGTGACTGTGACTCGATAACTTCCATAAAATGGAGTCGGCGAAACCCTTCTCGTGTAAATTTGTCATCGTGATGAGTTTGCTTTCGACATTTTTGGCTATGGGTCTGCAGTAAT